TCATTGTCCTTGAGTCATAATTCTGTGATACCATGACCTTGTATAACATTCCGATTGGTCAATTTTGATCACAAACTTAATCAGGGGTGATTTTAATATATAAGAACTTGTATTACTAATATAGTTTTTTCTTTACTAAATTTGACAATACAATGGATGATAGTCACAAAGACAATAAAATACTAAACAACAACCAATTTTCAAGAAAATAGTATAATGGGGTAGAAACACTTTTATTTCGAAGGTTGTTTGTAACTCTGGGAGTTACTTTTTATTCAAGGTAATTTTCACTACTTATATATATGATTTTTGTAGATTAAAATATTGATACTTTTTTTCTTATCAATACTATTCTTTTTTTCTATTTACCTGATAATTCTTTTTATTCTGGTTTTAATGATTGTTCTATTTTTACAAAAATAAAAATAATAAACAAAATAAAAATAAAATAAATCGAACATTATGCTATGTTGGATGGTAACACATCAGAGAAGGGAACTTTGACTACTACAACATATCACTTTCTGTATTATACATATTTATTGAAATATATAATCTTATTTATATATATTTTTTTAACGCTCACTTACAATAAATGTTCTATTTTACTTAATCTATTCTGATGCAAAACTGAATATTCAAAAAAAAAAAATTCCAAGTTAAAAATTAAAAAAAAAAAAAAAAATTTCAAGTTGAAATTTAAAAAAAAAAAAAAAAATCGAAATTCAAACAATTATTCATAACTATCATTATTGTAATCAAATATTCCACCTACTAACAGGCCATTTTTTTTAAAAAAAATTAAATTTTCAAACACTTTCGGTTTCAAACAGGTTCTTTTAACTGTCGTAATATTGCCTACATCACTAAAAAGCCTCTTGTTTGCAGCTAACATTGCTTGCACAGCAAGATACTTTCTTGCTAGTTGAAAAAGAACAAAGAAAATTTTTTTATTATCTTTCCACCAAGTTTAAGCATTTTGATCTTTAGAAATTTCTTGTAATACCAAATATCTATCAATTTCGTCACCATTACCAGAACCACAAGAATCAAACGAACTTTTACCAAACAAGCTTTCACCATATAATTTTGTTTTTAACCTTTTTTGTAAGAGCTTACTTTCCTTTCTTACAGATAAGCTTGTTATATAGTACTTGGAATTTTCTTCTTTATATAGATAACATAATTCATTAATTGTTTCAATTTTTTTTGATTTAGTTATAAATGATAGATTTTTTTAACATGGATCCAAAAGTGAAGCAACAAGACTATCAAGCTCTAAATCTTCATAATAGACATTTATTGCATGATAAAGTTTACCTTTAATTGCATTAATTAATCCAATCGTATTTACTAGATTATTAATTTTGATTCTTTGCTTTGCTTTTGGTTCATCATTTTCCTTCTCATCTTCAAATTGTAGATCATCAAATGCATCCTCTAATTCATCTTGACTATCATTATTTTCATTGATAGGGTCAAAAGAACAACTTAATCTTGACTTAATTTTTTGAATCGCAGGGTATACATAACTTATGGTCGAATATTGACTTCCCTCCAGCCTTTCAATAGTTTTAGTGAATGGTCCTAAAATTAGTGTTTTAAATTAAAAACCAAAAGATACAATTGATTAGTTGGCCAAAATTTTTAAAAAATCGATTAATAAATATAAAACCAATTTAAATAGGTTGATATTGATGGAAATCAAGTGTATTAAAAACAACTAATTAATTAATTAAATGATTGAGTTATTTAATAAATTATTAATTAGTTGTCAACTTGATCGTGTATACTTCTTTGTGCTAGTGATATAACCCCAAATAAGAAAATTTTCTTATATAGATCGCAAAATCA